CAGCTGGAAGGGAGACAACAGAGAGAGCGCGAAGTCATTTCGTGCCAATCTGCTTATGCGGAACAAACACGTCTATTCACATAAAAAGAGGCCAAGGCGGATCGGATTGCAAATCAAGACAATCTACAAAGGCCACGCCAACCACCACCACCATCACAACCAAAACGCCAGCAACAACGCCAACAACAACAACAACAACCCAACCACAAAAATATCTCAAGGACAACAGCATTACACAGACCGACAACACCTACTCGCGCCCGACCGATGTACGTTCGTGGCCAGGCCGTTGTCTACCACCACATGCCACGCTCAACTCTGACCAGTCCGCTGGCCTACGAGCAGCATTGTTCGCTCACATGAGTCGCGGGATGGTTCCCCCTCCCGTCTCGGAATACGTCGGTCGTTGGGCCTTCTGGTCGCCGCCAGTACGCTCCCTCCACGGGCAGCCACCACTCCATGCCTGCCACCGCCTGTTCCGGAAACATTGATAGTAGCGAGTTATGCACCAAGATGATCTTCATCGTGACCATTGGCTGACAAGAACCCTTCATGCTATCCACGCTATTTTAGGTGGGAAACATTGTCAGCATGCTATTTGGTGGTACCAGTTGAGATACCCGCACCACTTCTCTGCATGTGCTGATGATGTTCAAAGCTGGTGTTCTACAATGTGGATGCTATCGTGCAGGCACGAACACGGTTGTCGTACCACAAAAAAAGCGTCCAAAAATAGCGGGTCGGCATGAAAATCTTGTCTCCGCGTGTAAGGTACCGCAGATGAAGAGGGCACACGAGCGGCGGATGTTGATGCTGCAACGAAAAGGACGCTTGTTAGTAGCAGCACACGAGCAGGTGATGCTGACACTGCAAAAAGCACGCTTGTTACGAGCGCCATGACGATGGGGCCTTCCACGAAAAACGTCCAACACGGCCAAGAGAAGGTGATCGACCCCTCTGCGGGTATGTAGCTAAACGCTGAAACTGCTGCTGCTGCTGCTGCTGCGGACGCCGCGGCCATTTCACAGGTGTCTTACACACCACGCCGCCGCCTGCACAGAGAAGGAATCGTAGAAACAGGTCGTCTACGCTGCGCGAGGACGAGCGGTTGTTGCAACGCCTTGCCCCCACACCGCCCTGCCTTCTGTTTTCCTGGGACACGCAAGTCAAGTCTCGCCCGCCCACCTGCTGAATCTCGCGCTGCTGCCGCATGGACAGCATGGGCAAGAACACGAAGGACCAGCCGTACTTCTCGCTGTCGGTCTTATACGACGTGTTGCCGACGAACTCGCCGAACCTTTCGTTCGTCACCATGAACCTAACACCATCCCAGACCCCCGTCAGCAGGCGAATACAAGCAAGAGTAAGCATTGCAGATGGGTATACACATGACGGCCGAACTATGGATATTCACAGCAGTACCGCACAGCAGCGGCGAGGGAAAAACGGCGTGATGCTTGTTTTCGTGAGTGTGTGCGCGGGCGCTGCGTGTGTGTAATGTTCACGCGCACTGTCATTCGTCGATAGTGCTGGGCGGCGCGAGTTCCGGTGAAGCCAGGCCGAAGACAACTGTGTCGTGGCTGTACCTGGATTTGTTTTCCCACACATCGAAACTACGGATGCTCAAGCGAATGAACTGGCACTGTTTTCGTGAAGGTAAAGTACCTGCGAAACCCCCTCTTCGAAAACGCTCTCATTCATCACAACAGCAACGCGACGGCAAATGTAGACCTCCTAAGCCACGGCTGCCGTGCGGTAAGGCAGTTTGGCTAGAGCAGTCACTTGCCGTGGTACCCACCAAGCATCAATCTATGGACTCCATCTAAACCGTGTCTGATTTCGACGAGTAAAATGTTGGCAGCGAGGTTCCGCTAACGGCAAGCAGCTCATAGGCCCGGCATGTTCTCTAAATGTGGACTATTTGATCGCCCAGACCACGGCTGCATGTATACCATGTACATCCGCCGCTGGTGAGTGTACCTTTTGGTATACCCCTCGACGTTGCCAACAAGCCAGTTGTGACTCAAGACACACACACACCTGTCGATGTAGAAGCTTGGGAGACTAGTGAGGCGCCCAGGGCCTTCTCCGTCCTGCCCAACAGTCACAGGGGGAGCTGTGCTCATTTTTCAGCAGCCAGGCGGTTTCTCAGATAGACAATGGGAGTGTGGCGGGTGGGGGGCAGGGTTGCCGGTACATGTTGTGTCTTCCCGATAGTCAGATGCGGCGGATCTACCACTTCGTTTCTGCCGTGGTCAGTCATTTGTGTGCCCTGTCCCCGCAAAAAAGCGGTGCATCCTGCAGCTGCGGTAGTGCATATATATGCAGCTACGTTGATGGGTCCATGGTTGTGGTTGGTTGCTTTACAACCGTCCTACGATAGTACATGCATGTGTACGCCGTTGTGTGGGAGTCATGCTGGCTGGGATACGGAAAAACAAAAATGAAACAGGTTCTGCTCCAATATTAACAGTACACTCCCGAATCTCCAGTGGAGAAATCGTGGACGTACGACGCGCAGGGATTGTGGTCGAGAGCGCGTCCTCGTATGCACAGACGAATCCCCAATACGCCGGGTGGATTTCAAAACATCACATCGTAACACAAGTGATGATCCCTCCGGAGTAAGCTCAGGAGAGCACAGCAGTGTCATCAAGGGGTGACGCGAGACGAAAATCAAAGCAGGCAGCAGGATCAACTCACAGCTGACTGCCCGCTGCGGTGTAACATTTTCCAAGCTCAAAAACAGCTGACGGGTGCATGGCTCGAACACCCAGCGAACCTCAACGAAAAAATCTACAAATCTGTATGAACAGCAGCCATACCGGAATGATGAAGGGCCTGTCCGTGCCAAAACGAAAGTCCCCTTCCTCGACCAGCACCATGATTCCTGCCGCCGCGTCTTCCCCCGCCGCGTCTGCTTCCGTTTCGGGATCGCACGCCTCCCCGTCTGGTGCTTCTTCCTCTTCTGCCGTTGGCGCTGCCGTGGCGGCGTCACGTGCGGAGGAACTGCTGCCAGAGCTAACCTCGCCACCCCTAGGCGAGTCTCGACTGAGTCCCGCAGAACAACCGCAGCCTGCGCCCTCCGAGTCATCTTCTGGTTGCTCCTCGGCGCTACCGTCGCTACCTTGTGTTAGAGATGGGGGCGTTGGGGAGAGTGTAACGCAACGAACCCGCCGTAGCAGGTTGGGCGTTCGGTAGACGCCGTCAGGAAGTAGAACGGCGTTTGGTTGAAGCCGACAGCAGTATGTCGGATGCAACACTTGAGCGTCGACCATGTAGTCATCGGCTTCCGTAGCCCCCCTGAAATAGCAGAAAAACGATGTACCTACTTTGGTATTGTGCATCTACATGTACGACGTGCTAATATTGTAGATCTACACAACCTTCCGCGCCAGGGACAACATCTCTGTGCACTGCTGTGCACGCATTATTATCCTTGAAGAGCACGCGGTTTTCCTTGTGAACACATTCCTCAAAGCATTTGCCCAACGTTTCGACGAAGCCGCTTCACGCTTGGGTTCTATCTCTCGGTTTGTACGCAAGAAACTGTGAGCAGGAGCGCCATGCATGGCCAACAGCCAACAGCAGGTGCGAGACATAGCTACAGCATCATTTGTCCTTCACTGGCGGCAGCTCGGGAGAACAGCACCGCGTCCATTGTCGTGAAACCTGCCGTCTTGGCTGGAAACCTCACCTTTCGCTGCTACGACCACAGCGAGGGCGAAAGCCAGGAAGATCCATACCTTGGGGCGCCGCATCGCCACGTGAACACTGCCAGGAGAGAAGGTAAAGGCAGTGTTGTTGCTGTGACAGAGCGGCGCAAAGGCTCGGGGCAGCGCAGCATTCATTCGCTCATTGGTCAATTGGGACGGTCCCGTTTGGAGTTTCGTTTTTTGGCGTTCCCCGCGTGGCGGTTTCGGAAGGTTGATTGTGCCGCATATTGTCGCTCGACATGACGACATGATACTTCGGTCGACGGCACTCTACGTCATAGAGCAGAGGAGGGAAGCATGTATCAATATTCTTCTTGCTACAGCACTACGATCCGTCGTTGTAACCAGTCTACCAGAGGATAGGCTAGAGCGTAGACCCACACGGGTCGTTGTCCAACGTAAACGATTCTGACTCGTCCGTCAAGATCGTTGACAAGTAGGACACGTGCGGACAAGGCAGCACACAATGAACCGAGTTGGACTTTGACCCACATCAACAGCAACAGCAGCAATGGTTCGCTACCGGTCGCGGTTGGCGGCGCTTTGCCTCGTGCCGGTAGCTTCTTCGTCGAGCATGCCGCTTGCAGGCTTCATGCAATCGATGGTAAGACTTCTTAACTTCTCCTTGCAGGCTGTGCAGTGCAGAGGCTGTGCAGTCAGAGGCATTTCGCGTTTGTTTTGAAGAGGCATAGAGAAGGCCTGAATATTTGGTCGTCGACCACGTAAAAGCACAGCAACCTCAAGAGGAGGCATCTATCCGGGTAGCATTCTACGAACCACGTGAATGGCTGACGTTCAATAGACTAGATAACTTTTGCCTGTGTCATTTGTGTGTTTTCCTGTCGAACCCATCCGCCCGTGTTTCTCCTGCACGTTGATTTCACGGAATCGGAGCGCAGTTTTCTCTGGATGGCGCCGATGCCGAAGGTTACGAAGAAGAAAATCTGACCGTGGGAGCTGACGACATCGGTAGTGACTCTCACATGACCATACGTCGAGATTTCTTGCTGGATGACGCGCTGTACTCTGAATTCAACACGTGAGGAGAAAGAACCGCGTGAATCCATTGTCGAGGGCAGTTGGTTTTGGGCGCAGAACCCTGTAAATTACAAAGTCGGACCCAGCAACAGTTAGACCTACCGTGTTGGTGTGCTGTTTCCTCACATCACAAGGTTAAGACTTTGCGGGCGAACGAACAACAAGGGCCACGGTATTATCGAAACGATACTGATCGCAAATAGTTGGCCCGGTAGATGATGATGATATTTGAAAGCACCGCTACCGTTTTGCGAGTAAAATACGTATTGCTGCATTCTTGTACTGTAATATAATAGTGACGTATTTAGTCAAAGGCCAACAGGAACATCTAGAATGGTTAGGGAGGGAAACGCCTTTGCGTTTCCCCAGTGGTAGTACCAAATGGCCAGGACTCTGAAGTAGAAAACAGATGGGAAACGATAAAAATCATAAGCCGTCATATTTGACGTACACTGTGATACAGGGAATTTAACAGCACAACTGTGCCGCCGGTCGCTACGGTGCACGTTTTGGTTCCACATCTCAGAAAATTCTGTGGGTAGTGCAAACCAGTGCGTGCGTTGTTCCATCAATACCCTGGGCCCGGCGCATTGCTACCAATTCACCTTCGCACGCTCATCATTGTGCTTGTAAACGTAGGATTGCGACCGCTCAGTTCGATATCCTTCAGGAGAAAGGGCTCGATAGCGCTTGCTGGAGACAAGCAGCCGTATCCATAGACGCCGACTGCGAGACCATGGCGCACGCTCGAAAGCAGCGGCTCGCAGTCCAGCTCAGCAACTGCCACCTACAGGTACCGCGCTGCACATGGACCCCCCTCCTCGTTGTTTCTCGATACGCCATCCGGCATGTACAACTCCATCACCACCGTCGACGTTGCCACAAGGGACCTGTCGTGTAAATAAACAAGTATTTTTGTGAAAAAGCGAAAAAAGCAGGAAAAAAACGTCCACAGGACACATCCTCCCATATCAAGTTATCGCTGATGACGTGGCTAACTTTGATGCGACGGACTGTTCTCAAGAGCTCTGCGGTGTCGTGTCCTCCCATATCAAACTAACACTGATGACGTGGCGAACTTTGATGCGACGGACTGTTCTCAACAGCTCTGCGGTGTCGTGTCCGCGTGCTACCCCACATATTGTTTATCGTGCTGTGGGGACTACCATACTCACAAAGACAACACCACGTGCCCTGTTCGTCCCGAGGAAATACGAGACGTGGCGATGGGGGTGCTGCTAGGCATACGCCAACGGTTTTGCACGTGCTGTTACCTTGTGATCGCCTGCGGCATCTACAGGATTCCGGCAGGAAACCTATCGAATGCACTCCCAGGGACAGTGACGAGTCCTGCGTAAAGAAGTTAGGCGACAACGACGCGGCGTTCCAAAGCTACACCACATTCTTTCACCACGTGAGCCCAGCTACTAAAGTTACACCGGCAACTCTCCTGCTTCTCTAAGGACCACCGTTCGTAGCACCGGCAAGTCGCAGGTTGCAGGAACCCTCGAAGAATGGTGAATATAGAAGTACATGTGTGCGATCGGTTCTCCAGCTTTCCACCGAAGGCAGCATACTCGCAACATTGCTGTACAATCGCACTTGGCATACATATCTCCTCCCCCTGTGGGAACCTTTTCACCCACACTCTTACTTACGTGCGGCTCTTGGTTCCCTTCCCTTGGTTATCTTGCCCTCTCACGAAAAGGTGAACGCTATTTGTCACCACTTAAGGCATACCGTGTGGCAAGAGCAAACCGAAGGGCTGGTGCGAGGGCTCACGGCATCATCCCTGGCTACCTTTGACCGGGCAGAGCAGTCTCTCGAGAAACAAGAACAAGTAAAATAAGAGCAACCCGCCCTGACAGAACAGAAACCATACGCTGCTGGGTCGGGAGTGGGGTACACGTTTCAGCGATGACGTTTACCTGTGTCGGAGATATAAACAACACGAAAAATCATGTTTCCCTAGGTTCAAAACTACCACACGCTTTGAACCAAAGTAGAGCGCGCTTTGCGTTTTTTGCGTTCAAATAATGGAGACGCAGCCGATACCGTAGCAGTACTTTCAGTATTGCATGCTGCTTCTGGAGCTAGACTACCATCATCTATGTTTATGCCTGCTTAAGCACACATGGTAAGACCTGGTACTGTAGTATCCCCGCTTCTATACCCACACCTTTTTGTTCAGGCCATCCAGACCCCCTCGTGAACGTGGGGAGGTTGCACTTTGCCTCGATAGACGGAGAACAACTGCGAGCGAGAGCATAAACGAACCGCTTCTACGAGGCCATTGATCGCCTGCCTTGAACCACCCCGTTCCACCTATAGCACCCAGCAGACTCTGGAACGATATTTCCTGTGCTTTCCTGTTTTACGCGTGATCATCGTCCCGAACGAGCCCCCGCACGCTAGCTCTCTCGGGTTACTGCTTCACCGTAATATGGCCAATATTTCTTTCTCAGGTTACCGTAAAACCGTAGAAAAATCGTCACCCGTGTTCAAAGGGCAAAAATGGCCGTATTTTTAATTTTCGTTGATTCGCTCGCTCGCCTCGCGCTTCCTGTTGTCACGAACACGATGATGCCCATGGTGGGAAGGTCCTGAGAGGCCAAGAACTAGCCTCCGCACAGAGTCAGGGCATCGCCGACGGGCTGAGCGAGACGAGCAAGAGGATAGCGGGTCTTTCAGACAGCCTGTCTCAGGAACTGGTGTCGGCAATGAGGGAGATGGAAAAGCAGGTCGGTCGCCTGCAGTCGGTTGGTGAAATCGTGAGCAATTTGTTTCTGGCGGACAACTCAGTAGACCAGCCGGTAGGCTATCTGGAGAACTACGCTGCTGGTGATGCAATGCACCATGGTGGACGCAATATGGGTTGTGAAGTGGGTGTCACATCATAGAACTGCGTACGGGGCGTAGAAATATCCCCCCCCGCCCCCCCCGGTGTTTGCCATCGGGGTTGGGTTTTCGTCGCTTGGCAA